TGTGTGTGTGTGTGTACACATATGCATGAATTAGGTGCTTTCATATCCATCATTCTCTACCATTCTTCACCCTGCTCCCTGCCTAGAGGCTCATCTATATTGATGTATCAATAGGCTCCCTTGTGCTGTGGATTCGGCCAATGGAAGCCTAGGTAGGAAATGTGTTGGCAAGAGGAGAGTAAGATAGGGACATTCATGTACTTAGCCCTCTTCCTATGTTTTACTGTTGATCATTTGGTTATTTCCCTGTAAAGGCATCTATTAGCCATCTTCTGAACAAAGTTTTCCCTGTACATTCCAGGAACCCTTTTTTCTTCTTGGGCCTGCAAGTCTAGAAATTGTAAACTTACCACCTATATAGTTTGAGGGGTGCTGCACAATCCATTATTGCCATCCCATACCCTGTTCACACCAGTCCACTTCTGTAAAGAGTGTTCTACCAGTACCATTTCTATGCTGACAGAACCCTAAGCATCAAAAATAGTAATACCATATGTGTGTGACATTATTTATTTATACAAATATGTGTAATATATATTTATGTGTGCAAAGGATGAAAAAAGATACAAGGATACAAACTAGACTAAAGAGAAAAATAGATGGTCTGTATTTTTTCTTTTAAGTTTGTACCTTTTAAATTTTTCTACCTTTAAAATTTTTGGTTCTATGCAAGTAATTTGCTTCAGAGTCAAAACAAATGGTTTTGTGACTTTTTCAGTGACACGGTAAGGATGGGGAGAAGCAATGAACACCAGGACAAATGGCCTAGATGTTCATTTTGAACAGGCAATATGTTTGATGGAAAAGATCCTCATTTCTGATACTACAGTTTGGCATTTATTAAAGTATGCATTATCTGGAGAGTCTGTTCTGTGCCATCTTGCTATACTACTTCTAGTAAAGCAGACATTTTGAAAGTTTGCTTTAGAATAAGCCTATTAATGCAGCTCATTCATGTTTTAACTTTTGTTTGCCAGCTTAATTTCAATTTTTCGCAGAGTTAAGACAGAAGTATAGTCACATATTCTTATTTCAGTTTGATAAAACATTTGTTTTTATCATAAAAACAAAATATCCACATTCATGTAAAGGCAATATAATAACTTTTAGAACTACTTCCAAAGCATCTAAAACTAGTGTGAGGAAAAATGCAAATTACTAATGAGGGATTGGAGCCCATAATTAAATTAATTTATAGGGGCTTTAATGCAATTATACTTCCTCCAGACTATCACTAATGGTTCTGGGGCTTTTTATTTAATGTACTTTAAAGCATGATTCACTTGCATTTTTGCATTCATTTAATATTACAAATATCATCTTTATACACATTTCCATGGAGATACAACACATTTACAGTCTAGTTAATTCACAGATGATGAGACCAAAATGAAAACTCTTTGAGGGCCATAGATCTTCTGAAACAACATCACATTTTCCAATTCCAAGATATTAAGTGTATAAGTTATCCATTTTTGTTAAGAATGGACTCTTGAAACAGTTATAAATATTTAAAATGATCTGATTTTGAAACTTTAAGAAAATTAAAATCCAGAACAAAAGAAATTATTAGTGATACAAAGAGCCAAGATGTTGGGGGTTCATAATTTAAGTTAATAAATAATTAGGCTTGGAAACTAAATTTAACAAATCTTTTCCATAGCAAAATTAAGGAAATATTTAGAGAAGAAAAGAAGTTTCATAAAAGGTTCCAAACCACAAATCAACTTATTCATATATGTCAGTGACAGCTAAGAGTCTCAAAAAACAGGAGGTAAACATATAGTCAGAGCTTATGGGTAAAATTTGCTAGACTAATTTTCATGATCTCAAAGCTAGATATGCAAGATCTATACTTAAAAACTGGAAAAGTATTTAATAATAAATACTTAACTAGTCTGAATCCTAAAAGAACGAGGTGAACAGAACTGGTGTGATGCATTTTTAACTGAGGTTATTGGCTAAATTCAGATGTCATTTTCGTTACCAATGCTCAGCACAGTGGCGAAATATTTGACAAAGGAGAAGCAAATGCTACTCTGGAGATGATAGATTTAATTGACAACAACACAAAAATGAAGAAAAGCAAGCATCATAGATGGAGCGACAATTATGAAAGAACAGAAATCCTACACAAGCTGTATAACAAAGACAGCCTATTTTCCCTCTCTGAATATCTCCTACCGTTCCACAACTCAGAAGAACAAGGACAGAAAGAATATTCTTCTAATTAATGAAAATGGGACAAAGGCACAGCCAGGACATTCCTACCTGGTTTCCAGATGAACTGATTATCCTTTTTGCCTTCCAAATGAGCCACATGGGACAGCAAGAGAGAAAGCAACAGAAATAGCTTCTTCATGCTTCTCCATGTCCAGCAAGTGACAGCCAGATTACACTTTGGAAACATTCTTCAGACTTTTCAGCCCCTTGACTTGCCTATTCCTAAATAAAAAATAAAAAAGGAGAATCAGGTAAGTTTCTTCTGTATAGATGTATAGAAACAGACAAACTCACTTTGGGAGAATCTTCAGCATGATGGTATCACAAATTTTTCTTTACTACAAAACAAGTACATTTAATATTAACTTTTGAAGATCAGCAGTTAATTAGCCACAGTTTCAATCCTTACTCACTGAAGACATCACCCCCATTCTGTGAAAGCAGGGTTGGCAGATATATAGTTTATTTCCTCGCTTTTACTCAGCCAAACTCCTTGAGTCACTCATGTGTTTGGGAGAGAGATGCATTCATAACAAAGTCAAAAATAGGATAAGGATTGCTCCAGTAATAGTAAAAATGGAACAAAAGAGTGAAGACAAGGGAAAGAGTTCTGTGCTGACGAGAGAGAGAAAGAGAGAGAGGGAGGGAGGGAGGGAGGGAGGGAGGGAGGGAGGGAGGGAGGAAGGAAGGAAGGAAGGAAGGAAGGAAGGAAGGAAGGAAGGAAGGAAGGAAGGGAGAGAGAGAGGAGGAGAGGAGAGAGAGAGAGAGAAAGAGAGAGAGAGAGAGAGAGAGAGAGAGAGAGAAAGCTCCCAGAAGATAAAATTTGAGAGGAGCCTTAGGGAAACATAAGGGCTTGAAGGAGTCAAGAAGGGCATCTCCTGCAGAGAAAACAAGGTGTGAAGCACATTTTGTGTCTGGGGCATGGTGATCATTCTGGTTGTTGCTGTGAAGAATATGAAAGGGATGGAGAAATGGGTGGAGATGAGATTTAGAACACAGGTTGAGGCCCAAATATAAAGAGCCCTGAATACCGTATGAGGGATTTGGACTTCATGCTATCAATAATAACAACAGGAACCATAGAAGAGCAAATGACTTTTAAGTAAATGGAATCAGTGCATATAATGGACTATTAGTGTATGATGCTAGAGAAATTGAGGCTAGTTAGGAAACTAGCAAAATAGTCCAGGCACGTATGATGACTAGAAAGATCAGGAGAGATTTGAAAGGTAGTACAGAGACTGATTTAAAAGAATTTGGTTAATAATTGCAAATTTAGATGACTGAACAATGATCCAAACTTCCCTTTTCTCAAAAAAGGGAATCTGGAAGAGTGGAAAGTTTGAAAAGGGGGATAAAAAGAACTTACTTTAGAATATATTACATATAATATATGTAATTACATAGAATATATATTAGACAGAGGAAGTCTAATATGCCTACCAGATATCCAGATACAGTTTTTCAGAGAATAATAAGAAAATTCTATCTGGAGTTATTTAGATAATATATGTACTACAAAATAATGCATGTACTACAAAAAAAAAATCAAGAGGCATAGGTATGGGAATGGACTGGTAAAACAACTGCAGGTGAAAGCATGCCAATGGCAAACACAATTGAACCTAAACGTACACCTGCAAAACTGCTAAATGTGGGTTGAAAATCTGACTGAGCTTCCTAGTGACCAAAGAAAAGGAACAGCCACTGGAGTCGTATGGCTCTCATATGCATAGAATTAAATTATAGCTCTTTTTTATTGCTAGGAGAAAGCATTGTTCTGTCCCTAAGTAGTGATGGAATTCATCCCAGGAGTCCTCATAAATACACTTGATGTGCTAGGGATTGCACTAAACACACTACTTCATCAAAAAACCAGACAACAGCAAGTTGTACACAGTGGAATCTCTTGGCACTCCAAGGGTATAGTGGCAAAGGATAAATCAGTAAAATTATTCTACAAGGAGTCAAGCAATGAAGTTCAACTCTACAGCTCTCTACTGGCCTGCCTTTATCCAGGGATGACGAGAATTTGGAAGCGAACCAGAAGCTTTTCTTCGAATTTCTATACTGTATAACAATTACAAGATGAGTAAAACCCTTATCTTATTTCCTGCTGAAATAAGGTAAGGTTCACTTGCTTGGTCTCCATGAGTGGCCTTTTGGAATCTTTCACAGGACCCTGGGCACATCACCAGATGCAATTCTAAAACTTGTGCTCTAGAGAACTGACCACATTGCCCTGGAGCAAACATTCAGGAATATGATTGATCACAACTGTGCTTTTGCTAAAGGTTGGGCAACATGGTTCTAAGCTACAGTGCATTCTAAGGCCTTTGCTGGCTCAGGGGACCAAAAAAATTATCTCCTCCTCAAGTAAACAAACAAAACAGTAGTTAGTTGTTTATCACAGAACATAAATTGTGCCAGTCATGATTCCTTTTCCAGAACCCTACAGGCTAGCAGCTCAGGCTGCTGCACACATGAGCTCACCCTAGCCCCCTGGCACAGAGGAAGATGCACCAAAACACACATCAGTACCAGGAAGCATACTCTAAGGCCAACTTGTGCCCCCATCAAGGTGAGGAGTCTGTGCTCCATTCAGAGTTGGACCTGCAGCAGAGCAGGAGAGGAGCCTTGAGAGACCCCTGGAGAATGGCAGGGGCTGCAATGCAGCCACAAGCATGCATTTTCCAGTTAGTGCTGGCTTTGCCGAGCATACAAAGCCACAGGTTCAGGACTGGGTTTATGTAGGAAGGGGTTCCAACTTCCAGTTAGAAATCCTGGAATCTCAGTTCCTACCCAGGGAAGTTAGCATATACAATGTGGATTGTAACACCTGAGGTAAAATATCCCTGTACACACACACACACACACACACACACTACTATGGCTATTTCACATGGATAATGACAAACTCATATGTTTTAGGAAGCAAGACAACAATGAATGGGTTGGAAATTCTATCACAATATTTTAAAGTAGCCTGTCTGTTATCACAAAGGGCAGTCACTCCACTACTGCTGAAAGGCAGACTGAAGCCAGGCTACTATTTTACTCAGAAAACAATACAGATTTTCTGCTCCCCACTCCAACAGACACACAAAACTGGGTGGATAGTTCTGCATAATGTAGACTTGATATATAGACTTTAATTTGGACATTTTTTAGAAGACTTCATTGTCAATTATTCCATTGAAGCAGTTGAACAAAATCCAAATATTTCCCCCATAACAAATATAACTGCCTCACAAACCCTACAAAGCAAACAAGTCAAAAAATATAAACCTTTGAAAGCAAAGGAACCAGTATCTGGATAACAATGGACCTATGCCAATATATATTAGAGAGCATTTGATAATTTGATTGCCTTTCAGGATAGTTGATCCTAAGCTATTGTGTGTAAAGTTAACAAAGTAATTAGCTACTAGGATTTGCTCTTACTGAAATATAACATTACCAGAGTCCAGGGAATGACTTTGTCCATTCTCATTAGGAGGCATGCATATAGCAAATCTCATATTTAAGTCATTAAAATGTAAATTGATGTTTATTCCTCAGACAAGGGAGCAATATCCAGAATACAGAAGGGATTCAAACAACTCAGCAATAACAAAAAAAAAAATCACAATTAACCCAATTTAAACATGGGCAAACAATCTGAATAGACATTTCTCAAAAGATGTACAAATGGCCAAAAAGTATATAAGTAAACATATACTTACAAATGCAAATTTAGAATGGCTATTATCAAAAAGGCAAAAATAGCAAATGCTGGTGAGTATGCACGGAAATGGGAAATCTCATGTACTACTGATGGGAATGCAACTCAGTATGGCCACTGTGGAAAACAGTTTGGGGATTCCTTTAAAAACTACAGATCTACAACATGATCCAGAAATCCCAGTAGTGGGTATATATCCACAAGAAATGAAAATATTATACCAAAGAAAGCATCTGAACTCTAATTTTATCACAGCACCATTCACAATAGCCAAGATATGGAACCAACTAAAGTGTCCATTAACAGAAGAACTGATAAAGAAAATGTAGTATATATACACTATGAAATATTATTCAGTGAGAAAAAAGAATGAAATATTGTCATCTGCAGCAAACTGGATGGCGTTACAGGATGTCATGTTAAGTGAAGTACGTTAGACACAGAACGACAAACACATGTTTTCTCTCATTTGTGGAAGCTATAAAAAACTTGATCTGAACATAGAACAGTAATTACTAGAGGCTCAGAAAGAGAACAAATGGAGGGTAAAAGGGAAGTTGAACACTGATTACCAAAACACAAGTAAATAGAAGGAATACATTCGAGTGTTGCATAGCACAGTGGCATACTATCGTTCACAAAAATCTATAGTTTATGAGAAAACAGATGAGAGAAACTCAAAGGCTCCAAATACAAAGTAATGACAACAAGAAGGAAGAATTAATTAATTATTTTGATTTGATCAGAACACATTGAACACATTCACTGAAATACCACACTATATAAATACGTATAATGATAAAGTATAATTCAAAAAAGCTTTCAAAATATCTTGGGACTGGAGGTATGCACTGTGATACAGCAGATTTTAGAACAGCACTTGGGTGCCTGCATCAGGTATGGCAGTGCCTGGGATTGAATCCCACCTCTGCTTCTGCTCTAGCTTCCTGTTAATGAGCACCCTAGGAGACAATAGGTAATGGCTCAAGTACTTGGTTCCCTGCCACCCATACGGGAGACTCAGATGGAGTTTGTGGCTCCAGGCTTCAGCCGGAACCAACCGTAGCTCTTGTAGTCATTTGGAGAGTAAGCCAGAAGAAGGAAGGTAATTCCCTCTTCTCTTTCTGTCCCTCACAGTGTCTGTCCGTCTGTCTGTCTCTCTCTCTTTCTGCCTTTCAAATAAATAAAACTAAGTTAAAAAAATTAAAAAATCAAAATGCATAAGGAGATGAAAATGTTAACTAATTTGACCTTCACATATTGAATACATGTATTGAGTTATTACAATATATCCCATAAATATGCACAATTAAAATAATAACTTTAACTAAAGTGGACCAAAAGCATATGAGGAGCCTTAAAAACATTTGCAGAAAATGTACATTATCTTTTAACTTCACTTTCTATGACCTTCTTGAAGTACCCTCATGTCTTTTTTTTAAGCTTTTATTTAATGGATGCATTTTTTTCATAGGTACAACTTTAGGAATATAGTGGT